TTTTGCTAGCAATATCGCTAGCCTAATGAAGATCACGTCAGGAAATATTTATAAACAGCTTTTTACCAGGTTTCAGGAGTCTTCTTTAATAGCTCTATCCTCATATATCTAATCGTAATGAGTAATGCTGGACTGATGAAGCTGGTCACAGAATAAGAAGGATAAACGACAATTTAACACTAACAACTTTATAAAAGATCTCCCGCAGCAAGCGCTCTTGTGAAAGATCATCAATCAGTTGGGCTTACCATCCACATACATCAACTGTAAATCAACAGTACAATTAATAGTCTGTACTTTGTGAATGTTATCGAAGTCGCTATTACCAGCTTCTGGATAACATTAGTCAGAGATGGATGGAAACAACGTTGAGGCTTGCCGACGATGAAGTGAGTATTTAAGTGCCTTAGTAGTTATAATCAATCATTGTTGTTATTTATGTGTAGTATCCTCAAGAAGATTGCCGCTATTCCTCTAAAATATGCATTTTTAGCAGGTCTTTGATACTCTTACCTATTGTCTTTGTAGTTTCCGATTACCTGACTCTGGCAGCTCACAAACAAAGCCGAAGAATGAATCGAGCGTCAAAACTTGCGTTTATCTGTTACTAATAGAGTTTTTACTTAGAACTAGTCCAGTTCAGCCTCCAAGTCTAACGGCTATCGCCAGATGGGCCGCGGTTGGTCTTTTTCAATCATTATTGCTGAAGTACTAATGGTCCAACGCTTCGGTGGTGTGGGAGCGACTCTGGTTATCAAACTGCGATGTACAGCGGAGGTTTATCTCCAGCGGGGTTTCCATAGATGAGAAGGAGTGCGACGTTTCCGACTTTCCGGATGCCCAGCTAAGAGTAGACCATGCCAGAAGAGCCATCGTCTGGTTGATTCAGTCGCTAGTTGGTTCCCTGATCCATATAGGTCAGCTATGCCTGTGGAAAACTTGACAGGCCCTGGAAACTGCTAAGTGGGAATAAATTCTCTTGCGTGCTCAGCTTGTAAAAGAAAAAAAGCTTTGCACACCACTCGCCTGTCTTATGTTCCTATCTTTAACCCCATGATACTCTCAACGCTGATCTTCACGCCCCTCTCGCAGCTGGGCGCTTCAGCTGCAATGTAATCGCTTAGGAAACGAAGTCTAGGAAGACGGACGTGAGGCAGCTGAGTGATGGCACACTCATCATTCGTGGTGAGAAAGTTCCAT